AACTGCAAGGACTCGTCCAAGCAGTCACTGCAGGGTCAGCAATGACTGAGCGCAGACAAAAAAAAAAAAAAAAAATCATATTTGTACAGACTACCAACAGAATGCAATAGCACTGTCTGTATTTAAGCCAAGCTGTCTGGACCTGACCAACTACTGAGAAGAGAGAAACTCTTCTCTTAGTCATCTAAAGGTATCAGTGAGAGAAAATGTGGCAGAGATGCATCTAGGGAGGAATACGGCTGTTCCCAGGCTGTGGAACTCAGAATCAAGCTAGCTCCATTATCTTCCTGCCAGAAAATCCAACACTCTATTTTATTTAGGCAAGCTGCTGGAACCATACAGGGCATATTCTGAGTATTTTTGTTTCCAGCGGATTTAAAATCATATTAATTGTATTTTTTAATGATCTTCATTGCTATCTGTTGGTGAAAAATGGATACTGTTTCAGAAACAAAATAGAATTTAAAAATTCAGGTGAACTTGAGTTGAAAAAAGCATAGATGCTTGAAGGCCGATACCACTCTCTCTTGTTCCAATTCAGTTATGTTTCAAGTTATATAAGGTAAAATCACATGTGGTGACTCCTCAACACTGTAATCATTGAGTAACAATTATGGTTGAACCAAGGTTTGTATCAGAAACCTGACAATGCAGCTGTGGCCCTGTCAAATTCTACATGGATATTTTCCCTCCGTTGATGAACACTGGTGATTTTTCTAAAGAAGTTCATTAAGATGAAGCTTGCCTATGAGACTTCAAAAGGCCAAAACAATAATAATTCTGGGTAGATTGGAGTTACCCATCCTTATATGATTCCTCTCACCAGATTTAATTGAAGACATCACTGATAGTTACACTGAATCTGCTACACTGAATAATGAACTCAGTGATTATAGAAGCTAAAATATAGATGGGGAAGTGGAAAATTTAACCTCTTTCCACATGGTTGGATCCCTTCCCTATCTATATCAGTCCCACATTACACAACTAGAGGTGGAGATGTGGAGAAAGGGTCTTCTATATAAAAGATACAGTTTTTTAAAAGAATTGTAGATCATCTAAATACTGAACTCAGTTACCATCCCACTCTCAATTTGGTAACTTAAATATTTGTTTTAATTTTTAATGTTATCAAAATTCTCTTTTTTTCCCCTAGTAACCTGTTGATGTTTCATACTTTTACAAAGACCAAGCCCTTATGATGGTGGGAAATCTAGAAATTCCAACTTCCACACCCATAATGTGTGTAATATTCTATTATTGTGCGAATCTCACAGTTCATATTACTACAAAGTGTTGGTGATAGAAAAAGTAAAGACACATTACTGCTGTTAAAAATATTGGAAAATATGAAATATAATAATTATATATTTAGCATGAACAAATAGCTAAAAATTAGGGAGCACAAAGCTTCCGGTTCTGCTATATAAACCTGACTAAATTCTATTTCACATATAGCCAAATTCCTACATAAAAGGAAATGTTTAAAACCTCTGCACTGGATAATCACAAGTTAGAATCTACAAAAACTGCTTTCTACACAGGAATTTTTAAAACAGATTTAAACCATAATACAGTGCATTGTAACAATACAGCATATGAATGTAAACATACAGCTTAGTAATACAAACTATATTTTAAATAGAATTACAACTATATATGTACAGTACTGTAATGCTACATAGTACATAGCAGTAATACTGAACAGATTAATGGAAATGAATAGTACTGAACAACTGTCAGAGGTACAGTAAGTACAGGATCAACACCTAACTTTACCACCTGTATGAATACTTTCATCTCAAAGTGTGCAATTCTTTGAGAATGTGACTTCACGTTGCCCAAATGACATCTAGGAATTCTACCCATGTATTTTTAGCTTTACCGTTTCATGTAACATTTTTGATCAAAATTAAAACTTTGTACTGCATAATCACTTATTAATAGATCATTTGATTAGCTAAGGTTTAGGTCCCGCACTTAACAGAACAAAATATCTGGAGGGCTGAAGGCTGTCTACCCATGAGCTAAGATGCAAAACAGAACTTTTGAAAATGACAGTGCAATGCAAACAGAAGACAACAATAAACATGTCACATTTTGTTACTTTATAATGAGGTCAAAGTAAAGTGGATGATGCTATAATAATGTAAACCCCTTGCGGAAGAAGATAAGCTTTAAGAATATCTCTTGACACAGTGGAGAAGTTCCAGGTGAACTTTCCCTCACAATGCAAATTCCCTAAATGTTTATTTAGAAGTCCTACAATGCAGGTTTCTAATCTCAGAAACAGATATGGGCAAATCCATTTAAAAAACATAAAAATAAACTCTCCTACTTTCACTTTTTCCTGCAAAACATGAGATTGGTCCAAGACATTTTGTCTCTGAACAGCAAATCACAATCTCTTTGTTTTTTCATGAAAGAAAAAAAAAGGCTATCCTTTAAGAGTACTTCAGATATAATCTTCAGGGTGACACCTCACTCTACCAGGCTCATTAATGATAGTGGGTCCTGCCACAATAACCTGAAGATCTTCTAGGGAAGCCTTCCATAATCTGTTCCGTTTGAGATTTTCTGTTACAGAGCCTCCCCGATAGCTTAAAACAATGTTAATGTTTGTTTAATATTGATACTAAGTTTATGTCTATGTTAACTAGCAGTATTAGCACAAACTAAAATTCCTCTATCTGTGGCGCAGAACACCACTGTATTTATATCAGGATCTTCTCTCCAACGAATGAATGGCATGAATAATGGGACCAGCCCAGATTTTACTGTTCATTATTATAGCTTTTGTTCTGGCTTAATGGAAAATTCACACAACTGGAATGAAATGTTTCATAATGAAAGGTGAGGGATACCACCAGATTCATAGCCAGTTTAGAAGTTTAGGAGAACCAAAAAAAAAAAAAAAAGTAGGGAAGCTTTTATTGCCTTGTTAAGGTAACTTAAAATTTAGAGAAAGGAGAGGAGGAGGATTCCCTACCTTCCTTCTGAATACAGGCCTGTCTGTTTTTCTACATACAGTATAACTCAAACTGATACCTATGGTAGCTTAATTCCTGTGATAGATGGCATTTGGCCTGCCACAACAATAGCAAGGCATTCTTAAGAATCTTCAGAAAGAGAGCTATGTACTTCTCTATGTCAGGGAGAATAAAGATTTGAAATCTAGGCAATGCTGCCTGGTAAAAAAGAAAGAAAGAAAGAAAAGGAATTCTATGTGCATGCTATTTAAATTTGATGAGAGAAAAATGGCTCAATTCTGTATCTTGCATAAATTAAGCAAACTTGCACAATTGTTTTCATTTTATGTCACTGGTTCATATTTTGCATAGTTATATTGGTTTGACCAGCACTGGGAAGGGGCAAGGTAGCAGGCAAAGCACTGAAAACTTATCCTGTTGCCTTTCCTGCTTCTTGAACTTTATGCACACATTTACCATAAGATCTAGAAACTTTTTTTTTTTCTCAGAAAGAACAACAACAAAAGCTTGGTAGTTTCAAGATGCTGAAGTCTAAAGCTGGTACCGCGTGTTGCACTCACACCATACTAATGCTGCCTGTTCTTTTATTGTCTGGTCCTTCCCTCAATGAAATTGAGGTCTCCCCGGTTGGTGACACGTCAAAGAGAGTGCTGCTTGTGTAAAGTGGGACCTAGAAGCCTTGGGTGTCTGATACCTTCCAGATGGGCCACATATACCATTGTAGGTCACAAGCAGTGCAAGACTAACACTAAAGCCTTTAATAGCGATGGGGATGACTCAGATGTTAATGGCTGAAGCCTTTAAAAAGCTCATTTATCACTCCAGATGAAAAGTTTACATTTTTAAAAATCCTTTAACCAAAGTTAAGAACTAATTGCTTTGAGACTGACTGTCCTTTTTCCTTTACTACTGTGGTAGAAATTCTTAATGATTCTATTTTATACCAGCATGGTCCATGTCCTAGATGCACCATGCTACAACCTGCACATTTCATGTGGAATAATATTTTACACTTACATACTTACCTGTGAATTTTACAGGCAAGTAAAGGTTTGTTTTTTTTTAAATAATAGTATATAGAGATGGCTGGCATTGCCCCAACCATAATCATGGTACAATTCTAAACTAAGAATGATTAGTTGGGCTCCTTGGTGAAAACAATTATTTCACGTACAGTATTTGAGAATTATATGGAAGTGATCATTTTGAAGTATTTAAGTGCTTAAACAAGGGTGGTTCCTCCCACCCCCCACCCCCGAAATATTAGGTTCAAATGATTAGGAGCACTGGGCATAGTTATGATTAGCGTGCTCCATAAATATTTTGATGTTTGTGAAAATCCCAGACTTTCTTCCCAGATATCTCAATTTCGCCTACTATTCAGAATCGTCTTCAGCTTAACTGTCCTTATCTTCCCAGCCGGGCAACATAGCACAACAGCTGAGTCAAGCTTTCTTGTTTAAGATGAGCTGTACTTGTTACTGGAGCGGAAATTGTCATATCCGTGGTCATTCGCTCTGAACTTTAAGCAGGACTGTTTCTCCTCCAGGGAGAGCATGTCTTTGGAATGACACCAGCAACAAAGGCACGACTGTAAAACAGAAGAGACTCTCCATTAGAAAGGCTGTTTATATGTGTGTGTGTCAGTTTATACATATACACAACTCTCTGAAATACAGAACCATTATTGCCAATTCTTGCAGAGAAATCAGAACCAGAAGATGTCCAAGGGCGTCTAGCTAGCAAGCAAGCAAGCAAGCAATAAATAAATAAACACCTTTCCCCCCCTCTCCAGTTACAAGAAACTTCATGGCCAGTTGGTTATGAAAGAGAGGAGATTGCACGTATCCTTTCCAAAACCTTCTTACAGCAACTTTTAAACTTTAACTTTAAAGTTTAAACTTTGAACGGCAACAGTCCTGAAAGAGTGAGACATCTCTTCCTGAGCCCTTAACATGGATAACTGGTCCTACAACAGTGGGTAACCTGTGGACCAGGGACTCTGTATGGCTAGGAGTGTCATTTTGGGGGGGTCTCTCAATAGGCCATTATGGCACTGCTGAATTTTGCTGGAAAACAATTTTGGAGGCATGTTTTTTTTTTCCTGAGTTAAACACTAAAAAGAAAGTCGGTGGAAATTCCAGTGATGTTATTGTATCAGTGATATGCTCCCTGTGTCCTTTGGGGATTGAATATTTTATTTATTTTATTTTATCTAACCCAATTTGTCCAACTCCTCAACACTTACAAGTAAAAGAGAAAAAAACAATACATATAAAAGAGAACATGGCCAACCAGAAGAATAGAAGTACGTTAAACTAAAAGGGGCTCTACAGCCACTCTATCCCAAGGCCTAGGAGGACAACCAAGTTTTTACTAACTTCCAGAGTGTCATAACAGCGGGAGCTGCGTGTGTCTGGTGTGTGTGTGGGGGGGAGTTATCATTTCCAAGGGCAGGTGCTGTAACCAAGTAGGCACACCTCAAACAAGATCTTGTTTGATGGATCGAGCCCACAGCGCACCCACCCTGCTTGATTGCACTGGACAGGCAGAGACAATTGGAGAAAATCAGTCCCTCGATAATTAATTAATTAATTAATTATGCTTCACCTATCTATGCTCTGCTTGAATGGAGGGAAAGCAGAAAGGAGTGGCACTAGTGTCGTTTTTCCTCCACCGCTGCCTTCATCATTCTCCTTCTGACCAGAGTAAGAATAAACGTTCACTGTGATAATTGCTGAGACTGATACACAAACAATTTTAACAGTGAACAATGAGTTTGCTGATAAAACCAAACTACTCAAGATTGTATAATCAAAAAGAAATGGCAAGAACTTCCCAAAATATCTTTTCGGTTGGAAGAATGGGTGCCAAAAATGATAAATTTCAGTGTAAATGAGGCAACATGACACATATTTGGTTAAAAAAAAACCCATATGTACATTAATGGGATCTGAGTGGACAGAAGATTGGGAAAGGGATCTTAGTGTCCCGGCGGATAGCTGGATGAAAATGTCATCACACAATATAAAAAAGACAAATTCCATGGTTTGAAACATGGAAGGGAATTGCAAATATAAGTTAATATAGTACGCCTTAGAATAGGGCTGCACCTGGAGTTCCAGTCCCTACCTATAGATTAAAATACTGCAGAGTTGGAAAAGTTGCAAAAAATAGGGAATCAAATGAATGGATTAGAGCAGCTTCCTTATAAATAGAGACTACAGTACTGAGGATTTTTTAAAAGTTTAGAATAATGGCAGGTAAGGCACTGGGATATGATAGGGGTATAAAAAACCTTGGACAGTATGGAAAAACATGGCTAGAAACAAATTCATTGGTTGCACGTGGAGCTTCCTAGATTCAGTTCCCAGTAAAATGGGGAGAAGAAGTGTCATAGAGTGAATTTGGTTTGCAGATCTTATTGCTTTCAAACTGTGCTTATGGGCTTCTTTGAGGCATCTGGATAATCAATAAGTGTAACAGAATGCTGGACTAGACAGACCTTGCTTTGATTCAGGAAATGTCTTCTTAAATAAGATATGGCCATTCAGTGTGAAACTACAGCTGATGGTGCACCATGCAAACATTCAAGTAACAATGACAGGGGTTCATGCCACTAGCCTCAAGACACTGGGCTTGAAGACCCGCTCAATGGGCATGGTCTTAGTTTTTGACAATCATGGTTAGAACAAACCATGGCTTAACCTTGAGTTTTACAGAATGATGCCAGGCAGTCCTTTTCTAACTGAACAGTTTCACAATTTAGAAGAGGGGAGTGGACATTGGTTGGAACAGATCAGCCAAACTTTGGCCACCAGTACAAGTTTCTAATGGAATAATACATGTATGCATGTAGGAATTGCCCTGAAAAGTCAGCAAAGTTTCATGATATATTCCATACAAACAGAATCATAATCTAAAAGATTCATGTTTAGGCCTCTCCCTGCAATGACTGAATATAAGCCGAGGCATTGTTTCCACACAGAGAGGCATTACAAATGGGACTCCCCTTTTCTAAATTGTGAAACTGTTCAGTTAGAAAAGGACTGCCTGGCATCATTCTGTAAAACTCAAGGTTAAGGCATGGTTTGTTCTAACCATGATTGTCAAAAACTAAGACCATGCCCCCTTTTCTAAATTGTGAAACTGTTCAGTTAGAAAAGGACTGCCTGGCATCATTCTGTAAAACTCAAGGTTAAGGCATGGTTTGTTCTAACCATGATTGTCAAAAAGCCACAATGCCTGGGCTCACCCATAATAGTAATACAACAGTACCCAGAGCAAGCCATGATGATGCCGAATGGCATGAATGCAATGACACCATAACACAAATCCAGCTGTTACATATATCCTGACATGACTTAAATAATGACACAGGCTTCGTCAGTTGCTCCCAAGACTCCCAGAATCATGGTTTGTAAAACACATTTGCAAGGTTTACCCATCATACTGTGCTAAAAGCATGCAAACCACATTATGGCTTGGTCAAACATGTGAACCCAGCCAGTAATAAAGTTTCAGATTAATAGCAGCAGCAACAAAATGATTGATCTGATAAATTCCTTTTGCTTTATTCTAGTTTCCACTGAGGATAATGCAAGAGGAATGAGAAGAAATGATTCTATTATTTATATTTCATTCTTTTCTGGCTTCATTCAAAGAACCTCAGGAAATTTTAGTTTTCTAAGGATATAAATAAGTTCATTCTTAGCAATCTCTATCTCCTTTACAGAAAGCTATTTCCAGAAGTGAATACTGTACTTCAATTTCCCTTGGCTTAACCATAACCAGCTCAGTCCTTGTGCCAAACTTTGTCCATTAGGCAAGGAAAAATAAAACCCTTATGGTTATCAGCCAATGACACAAAACACTGTATCCGTTTCATGCTTATTTCAATATTGTGGGCAACGTCCTATGAACTACAAAAGCTGCATTGAAACATCTGGGGCTTTCCTTTGGACTATGAATGAACAATTATTTAAACTTATAAGAGAACTTAGTTGCTTTCTAGCGTGTGAATTCTGCAGTCCTTATGCAGCTTCTCTTCCATTGTCTATGGAATGGCAATTTCTCCCTTTTGTTGCCATCTATGGTCCACTGTTGTGCTCTGGTGTGTGATCCAATTCTCTAGATCGCCTAATTGCAAAGAACATTTATTCTGAAATAAACCTAGCACTTTTAGTTACTGTGACTGCTCATCACTGAAGAATAAATAGATATTTTTTAAACAGAGTTGTACTTCTTTACAAATAAATACAGCAAGAGGTTTCATCTGATGCCATTCAGGTTCATTTTCAATAAGACTCAATAAACAAATAAATCTTACCTTAAAGCAGTTTTTGAATCTTTTGCTCACCAAGTAGAGAGCAATGGGGTTGATGCAGGAATTCAAAGATGCCATATTGATTCCAATATAGTTCATCACCAGCAAAAAGCTGCACCAAAAAAAAAGAAAAAAAAAGAATGAAGGTTTATTACAGTAAAGATTACGAGATGACTAAGGCAACATAGTGTTGTCAGACAGGTGTAATGGTTTTGGGGTGGGGGAACAGGACTCTGGAGACTGAAATACTCCCTTGACCATGAAACACAATGCGTAAACCTGGGACTTTGTTCTAAAGAAAACAGAAGCAGGGGAGGGTTAAAATCTGCAAGATGATGGGTGAAGTGGTATGATCTTTTGCATATGCATGCAGGACAGAAGATGAGGATCATGTATGCTACCCTGAGTTGTTAGGAATGCGTTTCTGTGGGAAAGCAACATCAGGGAAATACATGAAACTGAGTATCTTTTAAGCAATCATCTGGTTCAAAAAGTTGAATTCTACCTGTTTGGAAGAAAACTGATTCCACTGTTAGTGAAAGTAAATTTATGGACCGGTAACCACTTTATCAATGGAGAGGAAGCATTTAGGGAGATACTTTTCAGAAGATACTATCTTGAGGGCTCCAAGGTACACTCTGTTTCCTGCACAGAATAGGTGAGAGGATTCATAATTCCTAAGATCTCTTAAAGCATTCAATGGGCTTTAAGGAGGTCCAGGTTAGTTTTACTGATTTATGGGAGTTTTTGATTAGCTAATCAAGGGAGGAGGGGTAGAGGATATTATATAAAAAATAAAGTATATATGAAGGATGGAAGGAAGAAAGAGATTGGTGAATAAACATACAGTAAAGGAAGAGAAGGCTCTTCCAGTCTTTCATGCAGAAGCACATTGCCTTCCTATCCTTACAGTCTTGGCCTTCTTTAATTAGCTATATACTATATTACGATTATTCTGAGAAGTCATACTCAGAAAGCTTCCAGGAATCAAAATAGCTGTAACTCCTACTACTGACTCATTTGCATCTGTGTATACCTTCCAGACAGCATTGGCAAGTTCTGACCCATAATACTGGAATGAAATATGAACAAGTGTATGATGTCCTGGACTGAGCAATAATATTTCACTGGAAGCATGTATCATCCCCCCTTTAGGAGAACAGCTTGAAAATTTATGACCAGCTAGAACCATGAAGATGCATCACCTATATGAAACACGTGGGAATTATACATGGAACCACTGGGATTAGTGATAAAGTGGTTATTAGAATAAACAATTGAGATTCAAATGTGATGCCGCACTGCTTTTTCTTCTGCTTTTTCAAATCATTCTCCTTTGATTTGACAGAAAAGAAATTTTCTTTTGGAAAACCGGATGTCAGATTTTAACAGAGTTCATTCAACTTATTTTGGTAGAACTGCAATCCCATTGGGAATCCTGTATGTTTCTGCAGTGATGGCACACAGCTCACAGAGCCTGAAAGCTGGCTCTGCATATTCATTTCAAGCTGTAACAGTCTTACCTCAAAAGATCACACCTGTTTGGGCTTTGTGCATCATAGAGAGCAAACTTCAGTATCCTACTGAGATAAAGGGGCAGCCAACACAAGGCGAAAACAACCACTAAGCAGAACACCGTTTTGGCTACTTCACGTCTCTGAAAGCAAAGAAACACACAGTCGGGAAGAAAGGTAAATAGGCAGTCAGCTATATTGATGGCTATGATTTCTGGTTCATGACAAATGTGCTGAAGGGTAAATACTGAAATTACAACAAACTTTGTTTTATTGTTCTTATATTATCTGCCTGCAATTTCCATCCACATTTCAGTATATAAAATGGGAGCCAGCATGCATGATTAGATGCCCTTAGAAATTATCATAAACCATTTCTGTCATTTAAACATGCTCATTCCAAATAGCTAGGCTTTCCACATAAGTTACCCCTGGCAAGCTCTCTACAAATTATTCTACCTACATCAAAATCCCTTTCTACGGAATGCTAGGAATGCTACTTCCAAATGAATGCCAGGAAAAGCTACAGAAATTAGACACAAAGGAGCATGGTGATGGAAAGCGGGGAAAAAGAGGTTTTCCATTTTTCCCCCAACTCAGTACAAAAACCTATTTGTCTAGTAGTTTTTTTTTAAAAAAAATATTTACTTAAAGCGATTCCAACTAAATCTGCAAAAAGAGAGAATTGTAACTGCTACCAACTGGTTAGACTGTGCAATTCCAGGCCTTACTAGATACTTCAGCAATGCATGGTCACTATCGGGCAACTATGGGGACTGTGCAAACTGTCTGAAAGGGGCTCTTCACAAAATGTGTTAGCATGATTACACTATGCCTCCTTGAAGCAGGAGAAGCAGCTGCATCCTTAGAAGGACTTGCACAATTGCATCAAGCCTGTCCCTGGCTCCCTAGGCATGTGGCTACCTCACAATGGCTTGGCTTTGGCTGGACTTCCCAGCAGAAGTGGTTTCTTTATGTATCCCCACCCATCACAGACAGCCAGGGGTAGCCTTTAAAGCAGCGTGCAAGTCCTAATGGGGGGATGGTTCCTTTAACACTTTGGGGAGGCATGCACTAACATGCGTTGCAAATGTCTTATTCAAGTATTTTGTGCTTTGCATAGCCCTGGGACACAAGTAACAAGTACTTGAACAATATCAACTACAGACATACGTTGGCTGACATTTATAGGTTGGAATACGCATCTCTTATCTCCCCTGGATCTCAGGAGGGTATGGGGTCCTATCTGTGATCATTCCAGAGTTGCATCTTTTTTTCTATCTTGCATCTTCCATTTCTATAGACAAGGCAGTTAGCCCGGACAGCAAAAGCACCATGACGTCTAGCAAAGCAAAGCTGTTATGCCACTAAATTCTCCAGCGAAGGCAAAGAAACAGCTATCCCTCAACGTTTTTTCACTGTCTTGTTTGTCTACCCTTGCCACACTGATTGTATTTTGGTTTCCATACCTCTGTAAATTAAGCCTGTTTCATCAGTATTATTACAAGACATGGCAATGGTCCTATAGGAAATTGGGGAAGGAAACTTCGTTAAAAATGTACTTTGTTAAAGTTTTAAGTTGAACTTTGTTAAAACTGCACTCATGATACCAATATTCTACACCTTTCAAATAGGACAGAGGTCTCACTTCTTCTTTTACCTGTTTCAGATGGTCATTTAATGCAATCTGCATGCCACTCTTCTTTCTTAACATCTCACAGGTCATCAGAGTATAAAAAAGAGCAGTGATTGCCAGCGGTAAACAGAAATAAAAGCTAAAAATCCACCAGTCTTTAGCTACCTGGTAAAACTGAGAGTAAAAAGGGAGAGGGGAGGGAAGAAAATCAGAAAGGTTAGGACTTTGTTTTGTAATTGGCAGTCAAGGAAGTATGCAAGTTAGCAATTTACCAAACACTGAATGCCAAAGGATCAGTGCTCTGAAGAAAAGTAGATCTATCAATAAAATATGGCTCCATGCACTTACTGGAAACCCAAAGCAGCCATGGGGGAAGTTTTTCACCCTGAGATAGCAGTAGAATCCTTCTTACTCCTACAATTGTTCCTATTTAGACTTCTGTCAGCTTCTTTCCACTAGTTCTTTCCATTTCCTATTTCCTGATCCAGGCCCATAAGTTCAACTCTGTGCACAAAACTCCTTAAGATCTGACATAGAGTTGGTTGAAACCTCTGAAGTCTAAAATCCAGGTCACACCTCTTGGGTTCTTCCCTTTCTTGACAAAGTGGAGATTTGTAGAAAGGCAGCCCTTCGTTTTGGACCACTAGCACTTTTTGGGGTGGGTTCTCCCCAGACTCATTGCCATGTCAAAATAAAAAGTGGGGTGGGTGTTTTGTTTGAAGGGGTCAATTTCTTGAGGTATCAGATGCTGAGGATATAGGCTCCTAATCTCATTTTAGGGGTCCTGAGATTTGAAGCTTCAGGGTTGGATTCTCACTGTAGCTCAGCCTGGTTATGAAGCTAGAACCTCAGTTGATCTCCTATGTCTTCACTTCTAGTGCTGCTCTTTCAATGCATCTGGCTGTTCCCTCTCCACATCGGAGCCAAGTTGCTGCTTCAGAAGTAGATTTAGTCAACTTTTAAGTAAAGGAAACTGAAGGCATAGATATCTAGGAGACAGGAATATTGATAATTCTAAATGGGAAGAATTAGGCTGCTTTCAACGAAGTGAATGAATTGGATTTTATATTTTTAAGATCAAATTTTAAGATCAAAAAAGAGCTATGCTTAGTATTTTTAAAAGCTGCAACTTCTCTTATTTAGCCATACACATTTCATTAATGTATTATTATACATCTAATATCATCTGAATCCCTTTAGACATTTTTCTTATCTGAATGGAAGAGTATAAACATTCGAAATAAATTTAATTCTGTTAATGAGACTGTGCAGCATTTTGGATTTGACTCCAAAAAGGTGAGTCAGAGCACATGTAGCACATGTCTGCAACTGTTTAAAACAGCCATGCCTTTTTCCTAGACTAGGCAAAATACTTCTTTGGAACTAAATCCAAAACATTACACAGCCCTAATATTTAATCACAGAAATAGACAATTGCTTATTACCTTCATGAAAGATGATTCTTGGTGGGGATTAAGTAAACAAGTAGACAACTTCTGCCCCTTGTAAGGTATAGTAACAATATCAAAGCCTATTGCTTCAGGAATAGCTAAAACAAGGGACACAACCCAGATCAGAACAATTTCAACTGCTGTCCACTTCGGTACTCCAATTCCTTTGATGCGGCTCCATGAAGCTACAGCCCGATACCTAAATATAAAAAAGGGGTTCTGGTCAGATTAGACAGAGTCTTTCTTAATGTAGTGCTTTGCAGATATTTTCAACCAGAAATCCTATAATCCATTGATTAAGCTGTATGGGGCAGAGGGAAACAGTAAACCAGAGCATCTAGGAAGAACCATTAGTTAGAAGATGTACAGTGGTACCTCGGTTCACGAACTTAATTTGTTCCGCGACCCAAATCAAATTTCCCCATAAGGTTCAATGTAAATACGGTTAATCCGTTCTGACCCCTCCGAATTTGGTCGCGACCCGATTTTTAGTCACGTCCCGAATCAAATTTCCCCATAAGGTTCAATGTAAATACGGTTAATCCGTTCTGACCCCTCCGAATTTGGTCGCGACCCGATTTTTAGTCACGTCCCGAATCAAATTTCCCCATAAGGTTCAATGTAAATACGGTTAATCCGTTCTGACCCCTCCGAATTTGGTCGCGACCCGATTTTTAGTCACGTCCCGAATCAAATTTCCCCATAAGGTTCAATGTAATTACGGTTAATACGTTCTGAACCATATGTTTTTTTTTTTTAAACCGCAAAAATATGAAACAAAATACAGCATGAAGAGAGAGAATGCTAACCTTGCTCGACGCACCTTCTGGCGTGGAGGACAGGAAGGTGGGTGGGGAGGCGGTTATTGCTTGGAGGGAGAGCCC